CCCAAGGGAGTCTCAGAGCGGCTTACAAACTCCTTTCCCTTCCCCTCCCCACCACAGACATCCTGTGAGGTAAAAGAAGAAGAAGAGATTGGATTTATACCCCGCCCTTCACTACCCAAAGGAGTCTCAGAGCGGCTTACAGTCTCCTTTCCCTTCCCCTCCCCACAACAGACACCCTGCGGGGTAGGTAGGGCTGAGAGAGCTCTTGACAGAAACTTATCTTTTTCAAGAACAGCTGTGCCAGAACTATGGCTTGCCCAAGGTCATCCAGCAGCTGCAAGTGGAGGAGTGGGGAATCAAACCCGGTTCTCCCAGATTAAAGTCTGTGCACTTAACCACTACACCAAATCATAATCCAGCCATTCAGCCAAAAGCCCCTGGGGGAATCAGAATATCTTTACCTGATACTAGAAACTCACGAAGTCACAAGTAAATAGGAGGAAGTCATTGGAGTCAGGGTGCCAATGCCATGGCTGAAAAAGGCCCTGCTTCCTGTAAAAACCAGTCTTGCTTCCACCTCAGACAGAAGCAAGGCCTGCAACAATTAACTAATAGGAAGGGATATACAACAGTAGGCGAGGACTGCCAATCTCCAGGTGGAGCCTAGAGACTGCTCAGAATTACAACTGGTCTCCAAACTACAGAGGTCAGTTCCCCTGGAGGAAATGGCTGCCTTGGAGGGTGGAGCCTGTGGCATCATATCCTGCTGAGGTTCCTCCACAGCCCAACCCCCCTTCCCAAGCTGTAGCGCCTCTGAATCGCCAGGAATTTTCCTTCCCAGAGCTGGCAATGCAAGAATAGCCAGTTCTTCAGATAGCTTCATACTAGTTTGATGGAGGCTTTAAAGGTCAAAGGAGCTGCGGTGGTTCAAGTGGTTAAGACGCTGAACTGCAGGCTGTGGAAGGTCGGTAGTTCAGCAGTTCGAGACCCAGGTGTGCCGCATGACGGAGTGAGCTCCCGTCTCTAGTTCCAGCTCCTGCCAACCTAGCAGTTCGAAAGCAAGAAATTGCAAGTAGATAAATAGGTACCTCTTCGGTGGGAAGGTAACAGCGTTCCTTGCGCCTCGGTGTTTAGTCATGCCGGCCACATGACCACGGAAACGTCTTCGGACAGCGCTGGCTCTTCGGCTTTGAAACGGAGATGAGCACCGCAACCCTAGAGTTGGATTGACTGGCTTTCGAGCAAGGGAACCTTTACCTTTACCTTTAAAGGTCAAAAACACCACCCCAAATTAGTCCCAGAAACAGATCAGCAGCAAGTGCAGCTATGAGGGGGGAACCGTTGAAGAGGAAGGGGGGGGAGATCACGTTTCCTTCTCTTCCATCAGGAGACCTTTGCTGATGGGACAGGAGAGGGCAATTTTTGCTCCCTTCCTTCTCCCGATCCACATGGCTACTAGTCTACACAAGTCCCCCTGCTCCAGGCTTTAAGTTTCCTGGTATTCCTGCCAGAATTCCTGTCATCATGGGAGGCCTCGTGGCACCACTCAGAGTGTGAAGGTAAAGGTAAAGGTGTCCCTTGCTCGAAAGCCAGCCGAGTCCGACTCTAGGGTTGCGGTGCTCATCTCCGTTTCAAAGCCGAAGAGCCAGCGCTGTCCGAAGACGTTTCCGTGGTCATGTGGCCGGCATGACTAAACGCCGAGGCGCACGGAACGCTGTTACCTTCCCACCGAAGTGGTACCTATTTATCTGCTTGCAATTTCTTGCTTTCAAACTGCTAGGTTGGCAGGAACGAGAGACGGGAGCTCACTCCGTCATGCAGCACACTCGAGTCTCGAACTGCTGAACTACCGACCTTCCACAGCCTGCAGTTCAGCGTCTTAACCACTTGAGCCACCGCAGCGCCTTCAGAGTGTGAACAGGAGAATTAAAAAAAAAAGTGACACGGGCCACGTCACAACATCACTTCCGGGGAAAACCTTTCAATGGCATTGCAACACAGCCAAAGTTGCTCCTCCCCACTTCTAACCCTCCCACCAATTGCCTGACAACCCATTTTCTAGTGTTGTCATCCTCCAGGAGGGACCTGGAGATCTCCCCCCGGAAAATATGGCTGGTTTGGAGGATGGACTCTATGGCGTCATATTCTGTTGAGGTCCCTCCCCTTCCTAAACCATCCCCTCCCCACATTCCAACCTCAAATCTTCAGGAACTTCAGAGCTGGTCACCCTACTCCTGGGGTTGGAAAGGACTCCTAGGGGAAGGCAGATAGAGGAAAGATCCACAACCTTACACCCACAGATTGCTCAAGACAACCCAAAGTGTTCTCTGCAAGAGACATTCCTCAAACCTTGTTCACAGGTTACACCGAACGCACATACAATCTGTATTCAATCCCCGTTCACACGTTACAGTGAACATGCATACATCCTGCCTGTACATGTGTACAACTGTTTGTAAGAAAGAGCCAACACACTTTCACTTTACAAGTGAACTGGGGGCCCATTACCTGGATAAATGTGAGGTTTGTATCACATATTCTGCTGTACATGAGAATTACTCAATGCACATACAACCATCAAGTGTATGCTATACATGAATTGTATATGCAGGGGCCATTTCCTGCAGGAGTGCACAGGAGCGGAGCTCCGGCAGTAAAGAGCCCAGGGGGCGGGCACATTCAACAAGCCCCACCCCCTGCTCCCAGCAGCCCTCAGGCAGAGCAAGAAGCAGCCAGGTAATTTACAGAGCTCCCTCCAGCCCCCCGGTCGAAAACAGTCCAGTGGCACCTTTAAGACCAAGTTTTATTCAGGTACAAGCTCTCCCTCCTCTGCGAGGACAGATCTGCACATCGTCCCCCCCCCCCACTAGCTGGCAATCCAAAACAGTCCAGTGGAGCCTGAGCGGTGGGTTTTGCCTTCTGACACACTTCCGGTGATGTCAGGGGGTGTGGCATATGCAAATAAGTTATGCTAATAAGTTGTGCTAATGAGCTCCTACACCTCTTTTTCTTCGAAATGACCCCTGTTGCATTCACTGTAACTTGTGAACAGGGCTGGCAGTGTTGAGTAATTCTCAAGAGGGAAATGAAGTTTTCAACCTGTATATCTGTATACTGAAAACTCATGAACTTTTAAACATTTTAAAAAGAAATTTCTCAAAGAGGTTCCAGAACTTCGTTCCGGTGCATTCCCCCAGAAAAATAGCCCTGTTAGCTGAACGTGTGATACAAGCCGCACATTTATCCAGGCACTGATTTCCAGTTTCAACTGTAAAGTGAAAGAGCATTTGCGGTTACTTACAAACCAATGAAGATATGTAAATACAGGATGTACTATCATGTGTGAACAGGGCTATAAATGCTTCTTCTGTATCCTGCACCAATCTCAGCTTTGGCATTTTTTGCAACCTTGATGCATGTATCCTGAAACCAAAACTATGGATTTAAGACAGTTTCATTTCTTTGCTCTGATATAGGGCCAAAACCTGAGCGTGAAGCTAGAGTTCTGTGATTGGAACTCCAGATGTTAGGGTAGCCAGCCCCCCCCCCCCCCCCCCCCCCCCATCGCCCCCCGAGCCACCTTAGGGTTGCCAAGTCTGGGTTGGAAAATACCTGGAGACTTTGGGGGTGGAGCCAGGAGAGGGTGTGGTTTGGGGAGGAGAGAGGCCTCAACATAATACAATGCCAGAGAGTCCACCCTTCAAAGCATCAATTTTCTCCAGGGGAGCTAATCTTTGTCAGTTGGGGATCAGTTGTAAAAGCGGGAGATCTCCAGGCCCCACCTGGAGGCTGGCAACCCTAGATGGAGGTAGGGTTGCCAAATTCCGATTGGGAACTTCCTGGAGATTTGGGGATGGATCCTGGGGAGGACAGGGACCTAGTGGGGTGCAATGCCAGCGAGCCCACCCTCCAACGCAAACATTTTCTCCAGGGGCAACTGATTTCTGTAGACTGGAGATGAGCTGTAATTCTGCGGTGGTCTCCAGGTCCCCCCTGGAGGCTGGCATCCATAACAAGTGCCAGGAGAGGGGGAAGAGCTGACATGGCTTCAATGTTGGGTCTCGGGAATTAACTCCACCCCACCCCCCTTCCATGCTGTTTTTCTGATCCACAATGGTCCCCCCAGTATGGTCAGCCCCAGTAGGGATAAAGATGGATACTATATTGTGTCTTTTTCCTTGCTGGGGCTTAAAGCAATTAGGGGGAGGGGGTTCCCAACAGAGGACCTAGTGCGGGGGTACTTATTCCCCACCCCCCTTTCTGGAGTGCCAGAGCGCTTTATTATTATTATTATTATTATTATTATTATTATTAATTATAATAATAATAATAATAATAAATATAATATAATTTATTGCCATTGTACATAGTACAACGAAATTAAAAATGCAATCATTTCAGTGATCTACAACAATATTCATATACACTCACACACCATTCACTACTGTCCCATAACTCCCTTAAGGTTCACATAACAACTTAGAACCACCAATGTCACCCAAATTCCAATTTGATATAGCATTTAAGGCAATAATAGCTCTCAAATAATAGCTCGAATAATTCATATATGTCCGTCCCCCGTCCCCACACTTTTGCAGTAGCTTTTAAAACTCAAATAATGACTGCAGTTCCGGTCAGAAAAATCCAGTGAAATGTTGGCCCTAATCATTTCAAAGCCAAGTATGTCAGTTTATCTTGGTTGCCAGTTATCTCCTTTAATTGTGCAAGAATGTCCTTTTTAAGAATAAAAAACACAGAAAAATGAAGGCTTAAGGGGCACAGGTTTGCTGAGACGGATCTTCTCTTGAGTAAGCCCCTTTGGAACAGGGTCTCATACAGGTTCCAAAAGGGTTTGCCTCAGGAAAAGATCCTGGGATTGCCTGCCCGCTGGGGTTGGCCTAAAGGTCTAAGTTGCCTACTCAGTGAATCAGGAGTTAAGAGGCCCCTAGCCACTTCCCGGAAGAAAACCTTCTCTTTACACCTGGTTGAGACATCATCAGTAGCAAATTTAGCCCCAAATTGCCGCAGAACTCATCTTTAATGCAAAGACACAAGGTTACCTTGGAGATGATTAATCGTTCCCCGTGCTCCAGTCCGCCTTTCAAAGTAAATCCCCACGGAGCTCCTCCTTGGAGAAAAGCCTTCACATAGATGAACCTTCCTTTAGGGGCTACGTTGGCACCTGAAGAAGAGACGGTGCCTCTGCTGAGACTGTCCAACATCCTCATGATCTTCTCAAGCACTCTCTGCAGCCAGAGCAGTCACTGAAAGGGCCGGGGGACGTGAGAGCCGAAGGTTAAAATCCCCCATATCCACGATAAATTGTCTTGTCGCTTGCAATTCCAGAAGCTGCTGGGATTGCCAAGAGAGCGTGTTTTCCTTCTGACCTGAAGTCCAGGACGCCGCGCTCACCACTCTTCGAAGCAACATTCCAACACATCCTTTCAATATTCCGAATTTTCAAAAATAAAAATGAAATTGGGGCACGGTCTCGGTGGGTTGAATCTCTCCCTGTGCAAAACCTCACGAAAGCTGGATATCTTCTTCCTTACTTTATCCACCACCATTATATTTGGGCTGTGAATGTTTCCAACCTGTGGCTGTTTTCACATAAGGCAGGACAAAAACAGAGAGGAGAAGGAGAGGGGGGGGGAATTAAAAGTTTTAACAACTATAGGTAGCAAACGACACAAATGCAGCACCAGCACTTCATTTTTGATTGATCATCAGCCCTTTCTCCCCTTCTGCAAGCAGTTTACCATTACAATGGACGTTTTTTCCTCAGTCCATTGCTTCCGAAGAATGAGAGGCGTCTTCTCCCTCTCTCTCTCTCCCCCCCTTCTCTTTTCTGCTAACTTCACAATTTTCTGACTTGTCAAAAGTGGCAGCGAGAAGAGAGTCAAGCTCTCAGCCCTTTTAAAAAAAAAATTATTCTCTTGGGCTTGAAACTTGAAATAGTTTCCCAGTTGAGTTTGTGAAAGGGGGGAAGACAGCTCGCCAGAACAGGAAAAGCAGGTGAAATTAATCCCTCGAAAAAATGTTAAGAAGATAGCTTAACGCTTTTCAAGCCCTTTTCCCACCGCCCTGCCTGGGTTTTCAGGCTGGCGGCTGCTGAAGCTGAGGGGGAGAGAGAGAAAATTGGAACAAGGGTGGCCCATTTTGGCACAGGAACCAAAGAGCTATGTAATTCCACGGATGCAGCCATATTTATAGGGATTCCTAAGGCCCTATTATAATGTTATGGAAGTTCTGTCTTTTTTTGGGGGGGGGCCAGGACATCAACAACTTAATATATTATATATTCTGCCAGCAATTACTTTAAAATGCTTTATACCCAATGCAATTCGGTTCTGTCTATTACTAATATTATGTGTGACGTACCAGTGGGTTTATGAGAGCTTTCCTCTCAGTGGCCCCCACAAAAATCTTTTCTCGATATTCCTGAAAGGCAGATTTGAGGGCTCGGCTCAGGAGCTACTAAGATTTATGAGAAAAGGCCATTAGGATTGCCAACTCCAGGCTGGAAAATTCCTGGAGATCGGGGGGGGGAGTCTGGAGAGGGCAGGTTTTGGGGAGAGGAGAGGCTTCAGCAAAAAAAATCAGCAGGATATAATGCCCTAGATGTCACCCTGCAAGGCAGCCATTTTCTCCAGGGGAACTGTTCTCTGTAGTGTGGAAACCAGTTGTAATTGTGGGTGAACTCCAGGCCCCGCCTGGAGGTTGGCAAGTGTGCTGTTCTGTTCGATTTCAGTGAGATTTAACTAGGATTAGCTGTAAAAATTTAAGAACATAAGAAGAGCCCTGCTGGGTCAGACCAGTAGTCCATCCAGTCCAGCATCCTGCCTCACCCAGTGGCCAACCAGTTCCTCTGGAGGGCCAACAACAGGGCAGAGAGGCCAAGGCCTTCATAAGAACATAAGAAAGAGCCCTGCTGGATAAGAGCAGTTGTCCATCTAGTCCAGCATCCCGTCTCACCCAGTGGCCAGCCAGTTCCTCTGGAGGGCCAACAACAGGGCAGAGAGGCCAAGGCCTTCATAAGAACATAAGAAAGAGCCCTGCTGGATAAGAGCAGTTGTCCATCCAGTCCAGCATCCTGCCTCACCCAGTGGCCAACCAGTTCCTCTGGAAGTCCAACAACAGGGCATAGAGGCTGAGGCCTTCCCCTGATGTTGCCTCCTAGCTCTGGATTCAGAGGTTTAGTGCCTCCGAATGTGGAGGTTCCCCTCAGTCACCATGGCTAGCAGCCACTGATAGACCTCTCCTCCATGAATCTATCTAATCCCCTTTTAAAGCTGTTTATTCCTGTGGCCATCACTACATCCTCTGCCAGCGGATGCCACATTTTAATCACTTTCTGTGTAAAGTAGTATTTCCTTTTGTCTGTTGTGAACCTACTGCCCATCAGCGTCATTGGATCCCCTCCAGTTCTAATATTTTGGGAGATGGAGAAAAATTAGTCTTTGTCAACTGTCTCCACCCCCATGCACGATTTTATAAACCTCTATCATATTCTCCCTCAGGTGTCTCTTTTCTAAGCTGAAAAGTCCCAGAATCTTTAGCCTTTCCTCACAGGGAAGGTGCTCCAAACCCCCTGATCGTCTTGGTTGCCCTCCTCCATACTATTTTCCAGCTCTGCAATGTCCTTTTTTAGATACAGTAACCAGAACTGTACACAATATGCCAATGAGGCCCCACTATAGATCTATACAGGGACATTACGATATTGGCTGTTTCATTCTCGAATCCCTTTTCTAATAAGACTACAGCTACCCATCAGGTTGTAGGAGCTGCGGTGGCTCAAGTGGTTAAGATGCTGAACTGCAGGTTGTGGAAGGTCGGTAGTTCAGCAGTTCGAGACCTGAGTGTGCCGCGTGACGGAGTGAGCTCCCATCTCTAGTTCCAGCTCCTGCCAACCTAGCAGTTTGAAAGCAAGAAATTGCAAGTAGATAAATAAGTACCACTTCGGTGGGAAGGTAACAGCGTTCCGTGCGCCTTGATGTTTAGTCATGCCGGCCACATGACCACGGAAACGTCTTCAGACAGCGCTGGCTCTTCAGCTTTGAAACAGAGATAAGCACCGCAACCCTAGAATCGGATTCAACTGGCTTTCGAGCAAGGGAACCTTTACCTTTACCTTTTCCCCATCAGGTTAAGAACTACACGTTTTTACCTCAACAGTGGTTTATAAACCACGCTTACGCAGAGATCCAGTTAATAATACCCCACCCCCACAAGCAGTAACATAAGGCTTTTTTGGCATTCCCCCCCCCCCATTCACAAAACGTCATCTAATATTGATATCATGCCTTTCTGCATAAATGACTCAAAGAAGTCAAAACCATTTAAAGGAGAGGTGGAGGAGTAAATTTTGGTCCAGGAGGCACACTGTGCCATGTCCGAATTTTAAAAGTGCCTGCTGACTTAAAAAGGTTGGAAACCACTGATCTAAATGGAGCAATAGGCTGAGCTATCAGGCATCTTCGTATATTCACTGCAGTCTGGGGTCATTTTGCAGACAAAGAGGTGCAGGAGCTCATTAGTATAACTCATTAGAATAACTTATTTGCATATGCCACACCCAGGGGTCATTTCGTAGAATAAGTGGCTCAGGAACTTATTAGCATAACTTATTTGCATATGCCACACCCCCTGACATCACCCGAATTGTGTCAGAAGGCAACACCCACCGCTCAGGCTCCACTGGACTGTTTTGGATGGCTAGCTATTGGGGGGAGGGGGGAACGTGCAGATCTGTCCTCACAGAGGAGGGAGAGCTTGTACTTGAATAAAACTTGGTCTTAAAGGTGCCACTGGGCTGTTTTGGGCTGGAGGGCCTGGGGGGGGGGGCTCTGCAGCTTACCTGGCTGCTTCTTGCTCTGACTGAGGGGTGCTGGGAGCAGGGGGTGGGGCTTGTTGCATGTGCCCGCCCCCGGGGCTCTTTACTGCCGGAGCTCCGCTCCTGTGCGCTCCCCCAGGAAATGACCCCTGGCCACACCCAATGACATCACCAGAAGTGTGTCAGAAGGCAACACCCACCGCTCAGGCTCCACTGGACTCTCTGCAACTTACCTGGCTGCTTCTTGCTCTGACTGAGGGCTGGTGGGAGCAGGGGGTGGGGCTTGTTGCATGTGCCCGCCCCCTGAGCTCTTTACTGATGAAGCTCCGCTCCTGTGCGCTCCTGCAGGAAATGACCCCTGACTTCAGGCATTATTTAAAGGTTTTTCAGGGCAAGAAGACTGTGAGTTAAATCAAACTGGCTTTCCCACTGGTGAAAAAGGGAGGAGAGAGAGTCCCCCTTGACCATGTGATCACAGGACTGGAATGGACAAAGAAGAAGAAGAAGAGAAGAGATTGGATTTATACCCCGCCCTTCACTGGGAGTCTCAGAGCGGCTTACAAACTCCTTTCCCTTCCCCTTCCCACAACAGACACCCTGTGAGGTGGGTGGGGCTGAGAGCACTCTGACACAAACTGCTCTTTTTTAAGGACAGCTGTGCCAGAGCTTGTGACTGACCCAAGGTCACATCAGCAGGTGCAAGTGGAGGAGTGGGGAATCAAACCCGGTTCTCCCAGATTAGAGTCCGCACACTTAACCACTACACCAAACCACTACACCAAACCACTACACCAAAGGCATGTGGGAAGGGGGCTGTAGTCAGGAATGGACTATATGACTAAGACTGAGTGAAAAAGCTGACTGGATCCTACCTAGTGTATTATTATTACTCTGTCCGTTGTATATACTCTGATTGGCAGAAAATGTTATGGCCTCAAGCAGATCTTGTACAGTTTCCTGAGGTCTTTTTTAAATTTAAATGAAGATATGAGGAAGATATGAGGCACAAATATAGAATGGGAGGGACTTGGCTTGACAGCAGCACATGTGAAAGGGATCTGTGTGCTCTGGTTGATCACAAGCTAGACATGAGCCTGCAGTGCGATGTGGCTGTGAAGAAGCTAATGCAATCTTAGGATGCATTCACAGAAGCATTATGTGCAGATCAAGGGAGGTGGTAGTTCCGTTCTGCTATGGTCAGGCCTCACCTGGAGTCCTGTGTCCAGTTTTGGGCACCACATTTTAGGAAGGATGTTGAGAAGCTCGAGCATGTCCAGAAGAGGGCAACCAGGATGGTGAGAGGGTTGGAATCCAAGTCTTACGAGGAAAGGCTGATAGAGTTGGGGATGTTTAGCCTGGGAAAGAGAAGGTTTAGAGGGGACATGATTGCAG